CTTCCTTTCTGGTTTATTCTCTTTCCAACAAATCGTTAGATTTATGTTCTTTTCTAGGGGAAAGCTTGTCTTTGGATTTTCCTTTTCATCTAAAATCTTTTAAAAAAAACCTCGTTGAAATTGGAATGAAACGAAAGAAGAAATCGATGCAAGAAAGTTAAAAATCCTTTCAAGACTCTTCGATCAATTATATTATTTTTATCTTTGGGAAATTCAATATTTGCGATAAAATAATATTCGAGATATTAGATCTAATCGATATTTGTCCATCGGATGATCAAAACCGTCCATTGATATCTCTGTCCAGCCGTAACTGTTGAATAATTGTTACAAAATTGTGTTGCACAACGCGAAAATGACGAGACCAAGAAGAGACGAAGATATCTCGTATCTCGATTAAACGTTATTTCAGTTCTCCTTTTGTGCACCCGATACACGAGCTGTGTATCGAACGGATCGAGAGTAATCGCGTGCAGCCTGTCTAATGACGCCGTTCGCAATTAACATTCTCGAATGATGCACGAGGCAATCTACAATGACAAATTACGCGAGAGTGTTTAACGTCGAAATCTTTGATGGCCGGAGATCGTGAAGTATAGCTATCAAGTTCTGATAACCGGTACCGGTGAGATTCGACATGATGCTCGCTTTGCCTCTTTCCTCTCTCTCTCTCTCTCTCTTCCTTCCTTCGTTCACTTCACTCCTTTAAATCGGGATTCAAAATTGTCCGGATTCTCTTCTTCTCTCTCTTCAAGTTTTTCGATGTGAATAAATAGAATAATTGGACGATTCATAACTTTCTACAGAAGATCGTACAATGAAGGAACACGATCAGAGGTAGCATCAAGTTTCGTTTCGAAAGACGCATCGAAACGAAATTGACAGCGGATAGAAGTTTCCTTCGAGGAACAATTACTCCATTAATGAGAGCCCGATTTAAGAAGCTTCGATCGACTGGATAGATCAATTCGATTAATAGAAATTTATTAAATCTCCATCGATATCCCCCAGTTTCGTTTCCAGCGAAGCGAAAGCTCGGTGTAAAGCTACTTTCCAAGGAGGGCATCGTAATCGCTACAACGCAACGTGCAAACGTTGACATCTGCCTGCCTGTTGTTTTCCACACGGATAAATTGCCCTTTTAATTCCGACCAGACGCGTATCGTAGCAATTTTGCTACGAGCCAAGCAGATCCTATCCATTTAATACTTCGATTCGTAGCTGCTCTCACATCGTTGCTCTATACATCGTTCTATCTAAATATAAATCAAGGCAAATGAAACGGCTCGCGCCACTGCCGACGCCGATCGAAATTAGAATCTCCATTCCGCCGAGAGTTTCTCTTCTAAGGTTAATGTCATAATTGCGCACGCACGATGCATAATCGAAAGGCATGCCTCGATCGCCTGCTTTCTTCGACCACTCTTGAGCCTCCATCTCTTGAGAAATCTCTCTCGGTGAACGACGCACAGATTTCGATCGAGCATTCGACGTAACCGTGCAACAATTAATCTTCGATAATGTTTCTCATTGATCGCCGATTAATGGATGTAATCTCGTTAATATTGCATCGAGATCGTATCGATCCAATTTTCACCACTCTCGAGTGTCTCGAGAGTGAGACGGACTCAACGAACGGCATTTGCTCGTGTATCATTTATATATCGTGTATATGAAAATTCCTGTTTGAATTCCGCGAATTCCATCGCGTGTTCTCCGCGCACATGGATCCCACTTCCAAGGAATCCTGATGTATTTCTGGAAGAGATCAAAGAAGCGAGGGAAAAGAGGGAATATATCCATGGAATTTGTACGTCTTTGTAATAATCGGTATCGTGATTGAACGCAATTTTACAGACACTGACACACATTCCTTCACATTGTGCATAACTGTACATCCTTCGATCCGTTTAGAAGGCAGTTTTGCGCTTTTTTTTTTTTTTTTTAAATTATTAGATGATCCGGGATAAAGAGATGGCAGTTGAACGGCTCAACGAGCGCCGATCTTTTTTATATGGATGTTCTTTTACTCGGAGAAACTAAGAAAACTGTCACAACCATCTAGTTTCGATTCCCTTTAACGAAATTATAATAGAAGAACGATCATATCTCTCTTGCATTCATCTGAATAATGTGGCGCTTAAAAGGATGAGACTAATTAAAACTTCGTTGGAATAAAAGCCGATCCTATTTCTGGAATCTATTAATCGTTAATATTAATCAACATAAGTATATTTTGTTTTTCATGTAAATTTATCAACGTGACGTTATCAACGTGTAAAGTGTAAAATTATTCGAAATTTTCTAAGCTCGTGAAGCTTACGAATAATTCATAAGTTAATGAAAAATAGGATATAGGATATAGAATAGCGTGATTATTTTTACACGTTGATAACGTCACGATAAACTTGTAAAACAAAATATACTCACGTTGATTAATATACGAATAAATTCTAGAAATAGGATCGAGTTTTACTCGAACGAAGTTTTAATTATCATTTTAATTATTCATCCTTTTAAGCGCAACAATATTATTAGATAAATGTAAGAGATACACGATCGTTCTTTTGTACAATTTCATTAAAGAAATTATCCAATGTTCATTTCAATCAACTTTTTCTACGTCGACTATACTTTTTAAGATATTTATACCAATACTTCGTTGTTTCTCGCTCTAAAGACTCGAATCGTTTCAGATAAATTTCAAACCATAAAATCACACCATCATTTCTCGCTTCAATCGATATCTTTTTATATATATTCTTGATTTAAAGAAAAAAAAAAAAAAATGTCATGGATGTACCGACTGCCCTCGTTTCACCGACTCCTGCCAACGATCGTATCGTCACATCTCGTGTCGCGTGTGTCGATTCACCACGCGAAAGTTCACCTGTGCCCCGCGAGGCCTCGTTTCACGCGGAGGCGACGACGATCATCGACAGAACCCGCGCTTTCGAGCCGATTTTTATCGAGGATACGACGGAGAAAATCTGCCCCCTCGCCCGTTCGAAGATTTCTCGCTTCGTTCCGCCGATTAACGAAGCGGAGAATTAATCGTCGCCTTTCAAATGCCATCATTTGATTGCACGATCGAGTTCAATCGTTCGATTTTCCTTCCATCCTCCCAATCCTCCTCCTCTTCCCTTCCCACTTCGTGACTTTGAGATTTGCTTTCCTTAGAAATGACGGTTGCAAAATGCGTTGCAAAACCATTGACGCGATTATGCAAACGAATCTCTTATATTATTCGATTGATCGAGAAAGTCTGTCGATAAATTCCGTTTTATCATCGATTTCGATAATTTCGATCTCAAACTCATGTATATAAGCTGCTAAATCAAAAATTCATTTCAATCGTGTTTCTTCAGACATTTTATGCGAATTACAAATAAGAAAATTAATCGAGAATTTAATACAACTTTTTTTAAAGATGAATTTAAAAGAGAAAATTTAGAAATTTGGAAACACGGGATCTATTTCCAAAATGAGATTACGATAGCAAAATTACCATCGAATAGAATATTATTTACAATAACAATATGAGAATCGCTGCTCGGCCTGTATTTACAATTGCGAATCTGCAACCTGTGACGGGCTGTATCGTGTCCCGATGTGTCACGAGGAAGCGATTAAGGTACTCGTAGATTAAATCGTGCAGCCTTGTCGATACTGTTTACTACCGTGTCCCATAAACACTTGCGTTCGAGGAACCATTCATTTAGCGAAGAATTCCATTTCGATACGTGTTCATGGCAGCGAGTCTTCCCTAAACGGACAGACAACGTACAGGTTAGTTCCTATTCTCTTCGATCTACGTTACGGTTGTATCAAATTTCCAACTTCGAAAACAAAACGATACACGGAAGGATGATGTCCGTCGCCATCCTATACGAAAGAAGATTCGATACGATACATTTATACACGAAACGAAACGAAACGAATCATCAGAAATTCGCACGTAACGTTGAACGCATCGCGCAACTCAACATCGTGAACGATTGTGAACGACAGTTATGTGTATACAACATTCTCGTTACGCCAACAGGCTCGAGCTAACGGCTCATAGAGAAGGTTACAATTACCCCGGGGCAACAGCTGCTCCGCGAGATAAAGGGAACGACACTGTCCCCGGTTAACGTGGAAACGTGACACACAGACGCGCGTGAATTAATGGAGGAAAATTAGCCGGATAGCCAGTGTCTGATCTTTATGTTTTGTGAGGAGAAAGGTGTTAAGGTGTGGATCTACGTATTAATTTTTAGAAGACGAATGGAGAGAGTGAAGGGTGATATAAATTTTTTCTTTCTTGCACGATTCCTGGAAATTAAGATCACAAATTTTACTTTTCTCCTTACCATTGTAGGTGTAAATAATTGAATATTCGAATCTCAAAGATTTTACAGGATGAAATTCTTTAATATCGGATAATTTTTTTGTCAAATTGAAATTGAAAGTTATTCTTCCACAGAACGAAAGTTACGCTACGAAAAATTCGGAAAATTTGAAACGATTCTAATTCGAGCAATTTTGAATTGGAAATAGGTATCGAATCATTAACGACCTTCGAATAATTAATCCCTCGTGATTCCGACACTCTCTCTGTTGATATTTTCCCAATGTCTGGACTCACAGTTTTGCCAGGACGAACAGTTGGCGAGGAGATAACGCACCCGCGATAACGATGCACCATCTGTTGAAAACCGTCTAGCATTATCGGGAATATCGATAATCATTCCTATCTCTCGTTATTGTAACGTTTTAGAAAGAAAGAAAAAAAAAAGAAAAGAAAAAAATACGAACAGACGAACGGTGCACAAAGAAGGATTCCAATAGTCCCGATTTTAAAGCGATCGTTTATCGATTTTTGTTGAAAGAATCGCACGCAACACGACCATGCATACCTGCGCGATAATCCACTGTCAGAAATTACCGGCGCATTTTATTTTTTCTAAGCGGGGCGATAAGAAATTTGACGGCACGATAAGAGAGACTGCGTTGGGTCGACCTCGTTGTCGACTCGAGCCTCTTCGGCTCGTCGATAGCCAAGAGACCAGTCTCGCGAGTTCGCGCTTCGAGAACGTGCAAAAGTGAAATTCGAACGGATAATTGCGCTCTTGATCAGCAGGAGGAATCGATTCTTTCGATTCCTCTCTTTTTCTTTTTCTTTTTTTTCACGTTTTGGTGGACTCGTTTCGTTTACCTCAAAGGGAGAAAGATTCGCATGACGGAGCAGCATGACGAGGCCATCGAATCCTGTCCGGAATCCGGACAGGATGGAAGATGGTCGAAATTCTTCGCGGTAGGTGAAGATCGGTGAAGTGAATCTAAAAATTGGAATAAAATTCATATGCGAGTAATAGGATGAAAGATAATAAAATTTTATGCGAAACGTTTGACAATGCGTATAAATGAAAATTTTATTGAAAAATCGATATGCAGGAAATTGTGACGATTTAAATTCGCGATTGTGCCGGAAATTTATCGAGGAGGAGATTTGCGACGCAAATCCAATTGTTTCTACAAAAATTAAGTTAAAAAAGTATTAAAGTACAGTGAGAATGATGAGTATATAGAAATTATTTCTATTAGAATTCAATATTTTGAGGGACATTGAAATAATTGCTTTTTACTGACCTCGATGAATTTATCTCTCGATTATATAATTTCGTCAAGACGAAAATAATTTTATTTATGTTATTTATCACTTTCTCTGTGAATTATTTTATATGAATTATTTTATAGGAGATAAAATGAATTTTTTCGAATAACACGAATGACAAACCGGCACCGTTACGACACTGCCACACAAAGGCAACGTTACGTTCTATCTTCGTAACAAGTTGTTCTACCTGTTCCTTTTTATAATGCGTGATACCGTAGGAATTCATATTGGACAAAAGCGAGTGAAAGGCGAGTGCGTGAATTTTCCTTTCCAGAGACATCCCCGCGCTTCTCCCCGATGATCGAGTCGTTCATATTCCGCATTTTTCCAACTCCATTTCCAATGGAATTCCTCTGGATTCGAATGTCTATCGATTCATTTAGGGATCGCGAGACATCACGATTCGATTAAGTGATCGGAATGTTTTCTGGCTTGCAGAGGATTCCGAGCTGTCCAGTGAAGAGTCCACAGCCCTTGAAGGAATTTGTGGGTCGCTGTCAGACGATGCCATCGCGAGTGAAAAAGTCCTTCTGCGGTTGCCTTCAGGTAAGAATGAGAATTGCTTCGATTAGAAACTCCATGTCTAACGAGACTTTGCTGCAATTACAAATCGCTACATAATTTGTCCAGCTGAAACGATCGAGCAAAAACGAGGATCGAATAATTATTCGAATAAATTTTTATTTTATTCTTTTTCTTTCTCTTTTCTCTTCACGTTCCTTCACCCGAAAGTAATTTATTTCCGGAAGTAAATACTCATCTCTCGTTTCTAATAATTATTCGTTCCTTTCGTTCGCAAACAAAAAAATATTCAATAACGTATTCAATAAAAAAAGAAATAACAAGTCACGTTCCATGTTTACTCGACGAAATACGTATCATCGATAACAACTCTCCTTCGGCAATCTCCCCGGCAAATCCTTCCTTAATCCTCCTTTAATCATTTCGCAAACACTCTCAACGTTTATATCCTCAAATAAACAAAAAAAAAAAAGAAAAAAAAGAAAAGAAAAAAGGAACATAATTCACCGGTTGAACGATAACAATTAGCGGAATTGTGTCGATTTCGCGTTTACCTTAAACGCTTGCCTCCGCGTTTCCGCATTCTTCGTTCGCTCGAATCGGTTGAACGGAGGATCGATCGCCGCCGTGAAACCACTTGTGCGAAACGAGATCGTCATTGGGAAGTGGTTACGTAACTCTAGGTGGGATATAGCATAAACTAGGAACGAGGGCCGCGTTTTTCTCCGCGTTGAGACGAGGCGACGAGGAGGAAGATTCGGATGGATCAGCTTTACTTCTTTGAACGAGAGGAGGGAGAGATGACGCCATGTTGAATTATCGTGGAAGGCGCGCACACCCATAAACGCAAAGCATTCCGGGATGACATCTGCAATGCAAAAGGCGGCGCGCGTGCACTCGTGTCGAGATTCCTGGAGACTCTTCGATCCCGAAAGGAAATCTCGGTGTTGCTCGTAATTGCTCTCCCCGAGATTTCTAACTCGTTGAAGGAGAGACCGGTCACTTTCTTCGCTCGCCATAAGAAGATCGAAGCCAACTTGCGATCGAGATAGGCGTAATTGGATTAATCGGGAATTTTTGGGGAGGGGAGGACGCGACGGGAAGGTGAAAATCGAATCGAAAGCGTTGAAGATTGAGTCATTAGAGCGGTTTATCATCAGCCTTCCTAACTTCCTGGTCGCGTTACGAGCGCGTGCCCGTGCAATTATTGCGGGAATTATAAATTGGTCACGATCTCTTCTGAACCAGAATGCCGCCGGAAGTGGCGCTAAGAACAATACGCTGGAACGATTCTTGGCGTTACTTGACGCGTGTGTTCAACTTTTTGCTCGCTAAAAGTGGCCTTGCACGATTCTCTCGACTGTAGCCTATTGTATTCCTTTTTTCTTCTTATTTCTTTTCACCAAAGATGCCTTGTCACACGGGATACTCTCTTCTTTACGCTTAAAAGATTATCGACAATTAAAATTACGCGAAAAGAAGAAGGACGAGTGTCGAGTTTTTAGACGGCTCGCCTTATACGAATTCCGCGTAGTCATGCGATTGTGGAGGCTCGTGTTCACTTCTTCAAAATAGTGGATTCCTTTTTCGATGATTCCTACCGATTCTCGATAAGCCGTAGCGGCAAATGGCTTGTTGTAAATCTGAGAAGAAGAAGAAGAAGAAGAAGAAGAAGAAGAAGAAGAAGAAGAAGAAGAGTAGAAGGAGAAGGAGGAAGAAAAATAAGTTCCAATAAATCTTGGCACCAACAGCTTCAACTGAAATCAAAGCGATATATTATTCCGTCTCCGTTAAGCGATAAATAATTCAATGGCTATCGCGGGGCGTGTACGAAAAAGATGCGCAGCTCGAATGGTGCTCGAAATACCGCGAATCAAGAGATCGCATTGTCACGGGTCGTTGCATCCTCCTCATACAAATTATCCACGGGGGTCTTTGACTGCGTGACCCGTGACGATACGGATGTCCACCCCGTGGATAGGGGTCGAGAAAATCCGGCTTCCTTCTCAGAATCGATGAAGCTCGAAGGTGATCATCTTCCAACACGCTTGCACGCGCTATTAAAAAGTGCATCCGAGGTATTACGAACGTGATTACCTTTGCGTGACGGGATAGCCACGCGATGTTTTATGATAGAGACGTCTTCTTGCTCGAGGTACGAAGGAAGAGAAGAATCGGGAGAAAATACAATGGCGTACAACAATTACGTTTAGTCACTTTTCAAGAAAAATTGAATTGAGCTTGGCTTGGAGTTCGCATAAACCACCATAATAAAAAAATAACGCGAACGATGACAGCCAACATCGATGATTAACGATCCAACGTTCATTCATTTCGTTTCATCTTATCGCACTCTTCGATTAAACGTCGGCGGAATATCCTTTGAACCTCGTAACAGCGATCCCCAGAAACGATAAAGCGATCGACTGTCGCGCGATAAATCGGCTCGTAATTCGCGTTCTCGATCATAAAATTGACCATCTCATCCGATCGTTCCACCGGTTCCCTTCTTCCTAGGAATTCACATTGTGGATAAAATATACATACGAAAGAAGCTTGCTTAGTTCCAACCCACTAGACCAGAAAGACTCAGCTTGGAATCAACTTCTTCTTCTTCTTCGATTCTTCCATATCGGCGCATCCACCTTCGGCAAACCTTTCTTTCTTTCGCGAACCTCGGGACGAGACCAGCGTCAATTCCACGGAATCGAATTAAAGAAAAAGAAGAAGACGAAGAAGAAGAAGAAGAAGGAAAAAAAAAAGGAAACACCGTATATACCGTGTACTTCCACGAGGAATCCATCTCGATTCCCATCCAGTCGTCCTTGAGCGAATCCTATGACCCGTAGGATTCCATTATGCCGATCAACCCTAGCGCTGCGGGGCGTGTCCGGCGAGGAAAAGGGGAGGGTGATACACCTTGGTCGAACATAATCGTGTTTCCACCATCCTCTAAGGATCTTCGCAGTTCTTCTTTTCCTTTTTTCTTTTCTTTTCCATCGGCAGATCTGTCGAACTCGGAGGCAGAGATCCGATGGAATGCACCCATAGATGGTAGCAAGAGCGGCTCGCTCGCTCGAAAGTCCGCGAACGATCGGTATCGCGTGTGAGACTCGTGGAACACGGCGTTCTTTACGTGTTTCGCGGCGACGCTTTCAATTATCTACGATGCTGGAATTTATATGCGGTTCCCGTGCTATTCGAAGCGAAAGAAAACGATCGAGATTTTTCGCTATCGAGCTTGCTCCCGTTTGCATCCTATCTAGGAGATGCTTTCGTTTCCCTCTTTTATCGTCCCGGTTTGTTCGATCTACCTTAGGACGAGCAAGTAGAAGACAGGGAAAGAAAGCGTTTATATATATTATATGCGTCTTAAAATTTTCTTGGAAATGTTGATCGTGTGTAACTCGAGGGAAACAGAGAGGGAAAATTATATCTTCGATATTAAATTATATTCAATCAACGTGTTTTAATTATAAATCTTCTTGTTATTTCGTAACGCTTGATAAAATTGTACCTTATTTAGGACTTATATTCAGTCAATGTGTTAATTAATTGTCATCTTCTTGTTATTTCGTAACGTCTGATAAAATTGTACCTTATTTACGAGTTATATTATTTTCTTTCTGTCTTTCTTATTACGCCATCGTACCACGCCTTCTATAAAGTAAGTAAATAACTGTACAGTTATCCTCATACACCACACATATCCTGTTTTTAATTAAGCGAGAAAGCAGTAAAATGTTCCAAGGGATTAAACTTCTCCCCTCGTGGTAATTTCATTGCCGAGAAACTTCTTTCTTCACGCTTTACAAAACGGAAACCGAGCCGAGCAATTTTCTCGGGAATCTTACAAGTTTTCGAGTTGTAGAAAATCGATGGAAAATTTTCATGATATCTCGTCGGAATCTCTTCGAGGTCCCGGTTTTTCGATTTTACGACGGTTAAATTATCCCTCTAAGCAACCCCATTCCGCTTTAGTTTAGTTGGGAATTTCTCGTTCGAGAATTCGAAACGCTCCTCCTTCGAGAGAGGATTGTTTGTCCCGCGATGTACACAAGCAGCTCGTAAAGAGGCGGAAGAGAGTTTGACAAGAAATTTAGTTCGCGGAATCTATTCCTCTCTGGAAGGAGAAAAGAGAAAAAGAAAGAAGAAAGAAAGAGAAGAAGGAGAAAAAGAATTATGCTAATGCCGGCGAGTTTGACGCGATCACGTTCCAGAGAATTTCTTGCAAGTGCTTCTGAACCACTTCAACCGCGTTCATTGCGGATCCAACCGACGCTCGCGAAGAAGCATATGTACTATCCTTATGTAGAGAAATCCCGACGTTGTTTCCCATCGTCCATCTGTTCCACTCTAAGCCCTCGCAATTTCTTCTCTCGATGCAGAATAGAACACGGGCGTAATGACTTTCTTTCCCGAACGAAATTACTTCAACATCGTTCCAACGATCCATTTTTGTCGAAACCTATTTGGTATTCTTGCACCTCGGCTCTCGATCCCCCCCCTTATCGTATCGATAATTTCATTCGATACTCTTCTCTGGACAATGAGCAATTTATTCCTCCACTATCGAAAAATGTGTCCATTCACGATCAAACGGGTTTCTAGCGAGTCAATAGCCGTTGGAACTTGACAGAGTGTAGGCAATATGTCATATTTGCAAGTCTCATTGCGCTTAATATGTTTCCGTTACTATGTTGACAACCTACCCGGCGCTGCGCCCACGCGCGCGTGGGTGTTCTCAAACCTGAAACGATCCGCGCGAGAAATACTTATTAGGTGGTCCGAAGAATTCGATTTTTAGACGAATAAGGAATCTTTCGTATTTTTTTTTTTTTTTAATTTGTATTTCTCCTTATTCTTTTTTCGTAATCACGAAAAAATTTTTTTTTACGTTTGACAAAACGTTTTCAACTATTATGCAACAGCATGAAACGTAAAAAAAAAAAAAAAATTGCATTTTATCTTTCTTATTTTTAGAACATTACAACAGAATAGGAATAGGAGTTAATCTAAGAACACGTAGAGAGATAAGTTTCAAGATTATACGTATGTAAATTCCACACACATGTATATTCATTGACTTTCATTGTTGACGTAATCAAACATCTGTCTGTACGAAATGAACGTTCCAAATAACTTTAATGTACGCATATTTTATTTCTAATCGACGGGAGGCACCGTATCGAGGCACGTGTTACGTAAAAAAAAAAAAAAAAAAAAAAAAAAA